TGGTCCGTCCATGGCCGATAACAACATAGTGTTTGGCAACGTAGTGACAAAGTACATGGAAGATAAAATCAAAAAGGCACGGAGACATCGAGTTGTTGCTCAAGGTACACAAGTGCATCGGTATGAAATAATGTGTGTTGATAGGAGCAGGCGTGGTATCTATCGCAAGCAAGCCGTGCAGGAATGTGTCTTGAAGGCGGATGGTGGATGTACCTGCAGTTGTATGAAGCCGAAGCTTCATCACCTTCCTTGCTCACACGTTCTTGCTGCTGCCGGTGATTGTGGCATATCTCCCAATGTGTACGTCTCAAATTATTTCAGGAAAGAAGCAATCTTTCATACATGGAGTGAGGAGATATATGGGTTCGGGATCTCAGGATCTTACACAACGCTGAGTGCCCAAGTTTTTTATATTCCAGATCCATCTAAGTTAAGGGTGAAAAAGGGTCGACGCCAAACTAGACGCATCAGAAATGATATGGATGAGTCAGAAGCAGGTGGGAGGACTTTACGCTGCAGCAAGTGTGATCTGCGTGGCCATACTTACAAGAAATGCCTGAAGAATGCAGAAGTTCCAAGCGGCGCAGATGCTAGTCCATCTGGACAGGCAAGTGATGGTAGGCGACCACCTGGTGAAGGAACAACAAGCAGGCGCGCAAGGCCAAGGCGTCGTCGCGCAGCAGGCGATTCCATGGTGTAACAATGCTTTCGATTTAGGAAATAAAATGCTGTTGTGATGTAATGAGTGTTCGGACTAAATACTTCTATCGTGTAATTTCAATTCAATGTTGTTGTAATGAGTACCTCCGACTATTGTTGTACTAGTAGTATTGCGAACTATTCGGTGTTGTATCATAATGTTATCGTGATGAGTGTTCGGACTAAACACTTTTGTTTGTTTGTACTCTTGTTTAATATGTGTTAGTAATTCGCTTATGAACATTTATTACTTATGTTGAACTAATTATTTATATGTTTCTGACCAACCTATTTGATGCAGGTATGGCGTACGACACACCGGCGCTGTTGAACCGTGGGATTAACAGGAACCACCGCTCGTTCCTGTCAGCAGTCGAGGGTGCACAGCTCGGCACCTTCCGTCCACGCACGTCGCGCGAGTGGTTGCGTGTCGACCCCCGTCACGTTCCTTGGTACGCGTATGTTCACATTTCAACTCAACTTTGCTTTGTGTTGTACTTATGTTTGAAGTTTGCTCTATACAGGTTGCGTGCGGCAGGCCTTCTACCACTTTGTAGGCTTGTTGAGGCGGCGGCGGACGACCGTGACCCAGCGAAGCGGTGGGATGCAGACCGGTCACTCCTTGCCGCTCTTGTAGACCGCTGGAGACCTGAGACGCACACGTTCCACCTTCCCTGTGGGGAGATGGCTCCGACACTGCAGGACGTGTCGTACCTGCTCGGGCTACCGCTGGCGGGAGCACCAGTTGGTCCCGTGGACGGTGTTTTTGGGTGGAAGGAGGATATCACTGCGCGCTTCGAGCAGGTGATGCGCCTTCCACACCTAGGACCGGCCAACACCCTTCCTCCGTACTCTACAGTCGGGCCTAGCAAGGCTTGGTTGCTCCAGTTCACTGTAAGTAAATAAGTTGTTATTATCATACATGCTTATTTGCGACCGGATGAGTGTTTTGTACTAACATTTCATTCTTAATTGTAGGCGGACCTTCTGCACCCTGACGCTGATGATTACTCGGTCCGACGCTCCCTTGAGGCGTACCTGTTGTGGTTGTTCGGGTGGGTGATGTTCACTAGCACCCACGGGCACGCTGTGGACTTCTGGCTGGTCCACTACGCACGGTCCATCGCGGATGCTCAGCCACAGGACGTGCCGCAGTGGAGCTGGGGTTCTGCCGTGCTAGCAGCCACGTACCGTGCCCTCTGTGAGGCGTGCACGAATACTGACGCGGGAGCGATCATCGCTGGCTGCCCTATGTTGCTTCAGCTTTGGGCAGCCGAGAGGTTTGCCATAGGTCGACCAGTGGTGGACAGCGCACCCTACGGGGTTGGTCGCAGCGCGCAGTGGCCAGAGGACGGTCCCACGATGGGGACTTACTGGTGTCGACGTGGGGTTAGTGCAACTTCGCTGCGTTATAAGTTTATCAGTCGTCTTCTTTTTTTTTCTTCACATAACATGTCTAATTCCGATCATGTTTATTGCAGCATCGTTACGCTCACGTCCAGGTGAGACGTGGTTACCCGGACTTCGTGTTCGAGTTTGACCGTCTCCAGCCGAGCGACGTCATCTGGGAGCCGTACACAGAAGAGGCCGTCGCTGCGAGAGCACCGCTAGGACTTTCGTCCTTGTGCACACGCGACCAGGCTTACTGGCTCACCATCCTGCCGATGGTGTTCGACATTTTCGTTGAGCCTCACTGCCCGCAGCGTGTGATGAGACAGTTCGGACTTAGGCAGGTGTTTCCGGGCAACGTGCAGCCGACCGTCCTCCCTGCCGACCACTCGTGAGTTCGGATTGTTCATTTCTAAATTTTTATGATAATTACTTCATCGAGCCATATAATTTACCTCTCTTCACAGGTTGACTCGACGGGGACAGCTAGCAGGCGCACTTTGGGCTCCACGTGTACAGCAGTACGTTGACGACTGGGTGTTAGCTACAGAGGAGGTGATCAACGAGCTCTTCCCACACACGGAGGAGAACTACCGTGACTACCTTCGCTGGTACCTTCCTCGCACTCGTGCGCGTGTGACCTTCACTCCAGACGCCCCAGAGCCGCACGTTGCCGCTGTCACGGACGCATATCCCACGCACCGTGACCGAGACTACTTCGTGGCGGTACGTCCAATTTGTATTACTTCTTACAATTATTTCATTTATCTTGCATAATATAGGACAACTACTGAATTTTTTATTTCCATCTTGCATAGGCTGATGCCGCACGGGATATCAGTGCCGATATCACCGCAGTCCAAGTGAGGTTGAACAGAGGTTTGCACTTGACTGACGTTGAGCAGAGGGTGACCTTCGACCGGATGCAGGAGAAGATGCGTGCGGTCATGCGCGTCTTCTCCTGTCGCAGCGCCGTGGACGTCGTACCTCCAGCTGGTCCGGTACAACCACGGCCTCGCGCGCCTTCCGTCGGAGCAGGACCTCGACCTACGGCACCTGTTTCGCACGGTACTGCTCAGCCCAGAGGTTTCTTAAGTTTTGTTTCTGTTTTTCTACGAAAACATCACCCCGTCGTAACTTGATGTTCCATCCTCGTAGGACCTCGTTTGCCTTCGAGCGCCCCTAGCTTCGGAGCAGTGCGACCTACAGCACCGGTTTCGCACGGTACAGTTCAGCCCAGATATTAGTTCATTTTTGTTTTGGCTTTTGCACGAATATGTCACCATGTTTTAACTGCACGTTTCCTCATCGCAGGACCTCGTCTGCCTTCGAGCGCGTTCGCAGGCACGACCGGCGCTTCCGCGAGCTCCGCAGGGGCGTTCGCCACCTCTTCGGGCGCGTTCGCCAGCTCTTCCTCTCACGGAGCGTCGATCCCTCGCCCACACGGTACTTTACTTTTTATTACTACTGTTAAATACTTGTACGAAACTGATGGTCCTTGTCCAGCAGGATTTGCAGCCGGGATCTTCGGTACTGGAGCCTCTTCGTCTCACGCCGGTAGGACTGGTCCTACTAGCCAGTTCTACGACGACGACTTGCACGGTGCACACCACCACGACGTACTAGGCTCCTCTCAGCTTGGAGGAGCTCCAGAGGCGCACACTCAGGAGCAGCCAGAGGTCACACCTGTACAGGCAGGACGGGTTGGCCGTGCCGTACCCCCGGACCGACTCACGTACTCCCAGGGGCACATTAGGGCGCAGGGTAGGAGGGACAGGGGTAAGAGGCCTCGTCAGTAGTGTTCTACCTCTTCAGTCCTTATGTGACCGTTTCTTTTGGCTTACAAACTTGTAAAGCAGTACTACTTTTGCTATTACTACTGCAGTACTACTTGTGTTTGTCTCGTCTACATAGTTCTTTTCATTCATATGGTGCTAGAACAACTTATGCTCACGACAACACACTTTCGGCGCTTCACGGTAGTGTCAGATCCAGTAGCGCGCACAGTCCACAACAGCACACATGAAAAGCGGCAGCTCGAGCTATCACTATCAACTTTCGGCGCTGCCTGTTGACATAAAGTGAATCACGCCCACGCGTGATCGTCTTGTCACATCTAATGAATAATGTATCTCATTGAGTTCACATATATTGCAGTGAAAACGACGCTATATAATTGACAATCTGAAGGCAACCTCTTCATATCTTCTTTCCCACTAGCACACCACACACGAAAATGGAAGCCTATTCATTGGTAATACGTAATCTAGATTTGAGATTATGTAGAACATTCTTCACTATAATTTTACATTTTGGCAGCAAACCAAATATGATCAAATGCAATTTTACCTTACCAAATATTTGGTAGTGCCAAAACTTGCTTATATTTTGGCACTAACAAAATATTTGTACGGTAACAATCCAAATATGCCCTAAAAAATAATAAAATTGTATTTTACCAGTCTTGGAGATTTTAATCTTGTATAGTTTTCAATATAAAAAAATTTGATAACTATTGATATTTATACAAAAATATAGAGCACAGTATAAAATCGCCCTCCCCCAGGGCGGCAAGGGGGCCGCCTGCAAAATTCCATGCCCCCTCGCCGCCCATTTGCAGGCGGCCCCCCCACAGTACAAAATCGCCCTAGCGGAGAGCGGCAAGGGGGCCGCCTGCAAAATTCCATGCCCCCCTCGCCGCCCATTTGCAGGCGGCCCCCCGCACAGTATAAACTCGCCCTAGCGGAGGGCGGCAAGAGGGCCGCCTGCAAATTTCGTTGACGGCCGTCGCCCGAGAGGGCGATTTTTCCCAGAGGGCGGTAGGCGACTACTTCCGTCAATTTTCAAAATGAAAAATTATTTTTGTAAAACTTTTAATAAAAAAAATTATAAATAAAAAAAATTCTCCCGTCTCCTACCTTGGTTCTCCGGCGGCGCCTCCCCCACCACCGCCGTCGCTCATCCGTGACTGACTCGAGGTACTTTCCTTCTCCTACTCTTGCCCTGATACGATTGATTGTTGGTGGTTGATTCTTTTGTCGGTTGGTAAGAGGTCTATTCATGGCAATGGGACTTCGATTCGGTGCCGTTGTTCTCTCGCCGATTCCGATGGCGAACCGGGTCGATCGATCTGCTTATAGCGATATAAAATCCTTGCACCCGGCAGGCTTCTCCCCCCAATCTAAAACCAACACTACCAATTGCAAATTGCAGTTACTACCGTGACATCGCGGCGGACCATGGCGAGTTCCTCGGAGGAATCGAAGGAGAAGGCGGTTGCAGAAGAGGAAGAGAAGGGCGTAATCTCGCCGGCAGCGACGGAGACGGCTGGAGAAAAGAAGGCGTCGGCAGCGGCGGCCGGAGAAGAGACGAAGAAGAAGCAAAAGGAGAAGAAGATGAAGAAGGTGAGGATGCCACAGCACGAGGTGGACAGAATCATGTCGTACAAGCACAGGCCCCTCACCATGCCACCTGGATACAAGAACTTCTCCAAGGAGCTACTGGCTTGTTTCCCCGTGCCCGTCGATCAGCTGGACGACTACTGGGCTAGAAAGAACAAGATACATGACGAGGGCGCGAAACCCATCCTGGAGGAGCAGGAGAGGATTCGCAAGGAGTACAATGAGAAAGGCTATGCCGAGTACTGGATCACCGACGACGAGGACCAAGCAGCCACTCGATCCCGAGCTCCGGCGCCGGGAAGGAGGAGGGGTCGACCAGGGGTCACCAAGAAGCATACCGGAGGAACTAAGAAACTTTAATAACCGATGAATAAATTTTCCCGGCTTAGAGAATACCTATGCTCCCGAGCTGCTCGGGAGCTTATATATATTGTCTAATAACAAAACATCTAGTGATCGAGTGTTCAAGTAACCTTTTTTATTTGGTTTTGGTTTATAGGATTGCTAGATGGTACTATTACCGACTTACCGTGTGCATAGTTCTTTACTCTCTTTATCTAGGGGCTGATCATACTATAAGCAAATATTCACTCTGCGATTATGGAATGTTGTGAATCATACAGAGGAGTCAAAAAAAAAAGTTCTTTTAACTCTAGCTGAAAATTAAATCTAATTTTACAATGAGATAAATTCCCACACATTAGAAACTATTATTATGTAGAATTTCGATGCAGACTTAGTGGTACAAACACAGAAGTAAACAGATAGTTCTATAAAGAACAAGGCCTCATTTGGAATTAAGTGAAGCCTTTTCAGAATAGTAAATGTTAAAATTCTGCAAGTATCCAATGATGTTTATCTCAGTGTACGAAACAAGGTTAGCGTCGCATTCATTGCTAACCAGGTCAAAGGCAATTACTAGCAGACATAATGTAGGTATCATGCTCTGTTCTGATTTTCTATATCTATACAAGAGAATCAGTTATGAATTATTAAATTTTGAAGCCACATAACTTTTTTTTTTAGAAAATGATGAAGCCACATAATTTAGCTATTGAAATCTTCATCAACTCGGTAAACCCCTAGAATTTCACATCAAGTTCACACCTACCCAGAGAAACAAAGTTGTCCAGAGTACAGCTACAGGAAAACAGAACAAGGTAATCACTTTTCAACCACAGTGCCCAGCACATGGCTGACACGATAAACAGCTTAACCCTCTCTACCCCTCCCACCATGCACCAGAGATCATCTATACAAGTTTATTAAGTCGCGCGAAGGCGCGACTGTAATCTCTCTCGTTTACTTATTGTTTATAATAATTAGCTTAAAATTATATTGACGGTATATATAATTGTACAGGCAAAGCGCTAACATATTTATTACATTGATAAGTAGGAGTAAGAATATTATCATAACACTAAATAAATTGTCATACATTACCACTAGCCACTTAGTCGTGTATTGCATGACTTTGAATTCCCGTATAAAAGCCATTTATAATAAATATGCATCGTAATTATGATGATTATGAATTGTATACTTTATATTTGAATCTTTGCAAAATTGTATGACCTGAGAAAAGAATAGTTAAATCTAGACAAACCTGTATTTCCAACTAAAGGTTCAAACGTTACATTTAAGATTGATCTCTTGTTGATGGTTTCAATAAAAAAAAATATGCTCATTTAGAGCAATAACAGAATTGAAGAGAAGATGTTCCCATCGCATGTAGCAGCGGGATAAAAAAAGGCACAGTGGAGGGAATTACCAGTGCTTTATGTTCCTTCAACCAAGTCGAAAATGTTACAAACTAGAATTAACAACCAAAATAAAATATTCAGTAAGAAAAAGCCACCATGTGATCAGCAAGCATAACTACTGTTTTAAGAGAGAACTTTCTGTTGCAGTAGTTGATTAAGTCATCTAGACTTGGACCAAGAAGATCAGTGACCATGATATTATACTCCCCCTCCACCCCAAACTTCAGATGAGGACTTCTAGCTGAAATTTGTAACCAAAACTTAAAATTAAAATGAGTGAACGAATTTATTTGAATGAATAAACAATTTCTGGTAGAGAGGATATCATCAGTTTTTTTGTTCACCTTTTGATAATGGTATGTAGGAATTGAGCATTTGTAAGGGAATTGTTAAGTCATCAGCTAAATTATAACCTGCTACGGACTAAGACTTTCTTATTTGCTGATTGGCTGGTAAAGAGTAAATCAAATTCTTCATGGTGTATGCAGACTATGCACTGCAGTATATTAATAATATGATTTTTTTCCCCTACTATTCATACCAATTGAAAGCATTTGGGTAGTAATTTTCTATTATGTAGGTGATGACAGAAGGTTTATTTATTAGATTTATTAGAACATTATCCTTTCTCCTGAAAGAATACATACAGCCATCACAAACAAATCAGGTACTGCCTGCTTTTCTAACTCATACAGTGTGCAAAAATACTACTGTTTACTCTTTTTTACTGAGCCTCTTTTACACACTACATCCAACAGTAGGGGCTCAATTTTTTGGCCTTGTTTAGTTCCCAACTTTTTCTTCAAACTTTCAACTCTTCCATCACATCAAAACTTTTCTACTCACATCAACTTCCAACTTTTTTCTTTAAATTTTCAATTTCAGTCAAACTTCCAATTTTAGTGTGGAATTAAACACAGCCTTTGTTGCATCCAACTCCTTATATTGAGCAGATGACGTGGCGCATTGTAGTGACGAGAACGATTATTTCTTTCACTACTTTAGATAACTACTCCTCCCTCGATTGCGGTTTGTGGTGTTGATTTACATTTTTTGAAAATTTTGCCATAAGAGTGCTAAACGTGAATAAATATTTTGGACAGAAAAACATACCAATCCATAATTTCTTTTAGCTATAGCTACAAAACTAGAAAAAAACACGCGGCTTTGCCGCGTGCAATACTGGATGGGCCATGCTATTTGACCCTAATGAGACAGAATAATCAGTTTAACAACAATGCAAGTATTATCTCAAAAAAAAAAGCGCAAGTTATAGCATGATACTATAGTGCACAATCATGATTGCTGTAGTAGACTACAAAATTTAGAAGATTTTTGTGACATATAGTGTGATATAGACTGTATAATCTGAACAAAACACAGTGGCTATTTGTGACAGACATTTGAAGAGTATTGACATATTATAGAGGTTTGATCTAGAGCTTAAATAATGAAAGATTTTAATAAAGCTCCATGTCAACTTTGTATTAGAGTAACTGGCTAGTAGATCAGTCTAGGTTCTTAGTCAGAGCTAGATACACCAAAAGTAATTTGGCTAGTAGATGAGAGGATAACAAAAGTGTCCATCTTGGACTATAGATAGCAAAAGTAGGCTGTCTTGATTGGAGAAGTTATCAGGTAGAACGCTTCTTTTTGCCCTTTGTCTGAATGAAGCCATAGTCAGTGCTTTCTTCTTCATCATTTTCCTAAAAAAGAAAAACAGAATCCTTATCAAAGTATATTACTAAGGAACCAGCAATTCTTTCTCATGCAATACTTAGCACAATGCAGGCAGTAGGTTTGGCAAGTATGAGACCCCTAGTGTCAGCCATATATGTGAATAGTACATGTAAATAGAGAATAGTTGTTGACCACAGGGTATACACTTGCTTGAATATTTCATTCCATTATCTAAAAAAATACACTTGATTGAAATGGTGCCAAGCTTGTGCACAGTACAGTTAGTAGGTTAATTGTATGATTGAAGAATGAAAAACAAATGAATTTAAATATGATCAGTTGTTTACCTGATCTGTACTGTTTGGATCTTCATAAGCTCTTTTTCCTGACAAAGTGCTTGTTTCTAAATTATATGGTTCAACTTCCATGCTTTGAATATCTTGGGGTGGTTCTATCTGGGATGATGAGCAGTAAATAAGAAAGAAAAGAAAGGAAATAGTAAGAGATTATGTAGCACCGACAAAAATGAATAAAAGAAAGAGTACTACTCTTTTACCTCATGTTGTATTTTCTTGGATAGTATAGGCACCAGTGGAGGTAAATTATGTAGTTGTTGAGATGAACTTGAACTGATGGGAAGATTCTTAGTTGCCTTAAAGCCTTGGCTGGAATGTTGCCTTCCAAATCTTTCTTTAATTGTCAGCACCTCAAATGAAGGTTCATCAGCGTTGATAGTTATGTTCGGCAAAACCTTCACTATGAATGTGAATTTATGTCCTATCCATGCTTTTATTTCTGGAGGTGTTTGATTGATATCATATTGCCTTTTCATAGTTTCAGCAGTCCTACCAATAAGTTCTGTACCTTTCTTTTCAAATAGCACAAGTTCAAGGCTAGCTGTGCCATCATTTGCAATGAATGGTATTTTGTACCTGTTCAAGTGCAGAGTTATTTGAAAATTATAGTTATATATATTCACACTTAATAGTATGATTGGAAAAAGAAATACTCACTTGTACTCATACTGCCTACATGGGCAGTTCTCTTTCTTGCATTTTAATATAGAACCATCCCATATCATCTTGCAATTGCACAATTTACAGGCTTGATAACACCAAGTTTTTCTTTCCTGAATTCCAATGATAGTAGCAGTGCACTGGTATTTTTCATCCTATGTAAATGTATAAATGAAAGGTTTAAGTTGTAGTTCAATGAAAGAATTTAATAGTATATTAATTTAGGTACATAAGTCTAACCTTGTCAACAAAAGGATCAATTTCCTTCAATTCTGCAAGTGTTTTGTGTTCAATGCTCCGTTGCATATCTTCATCACTTTGCAAGTATAGCTTTTGTATAGGATCAGCATGTGGTGGAAGGCTGCATATATAAGATGTTAGAAATAGGAAATTCCATAAAGTAAAAGAAGATATGCAGGGGATTAAATTGTACTTACCATTTCTGAAACATCTTGATTTCAGGGATGTCATTTTCGTTGATATACCAACGACAAGCTGTTGTTCCACTTAGAAATTCATATGTTCCCTTAAGGATTTTCATTGATGTACCAACAAATATTGCTATTATATGGTTATTTTGACCAACTTCCAGTATTGTCTCTCCATCAAACTCAACAGCTCTTTTTCCTGATAATGAGAGGTCGATGGTTTTTCCACTTTGAAGAAACAATAAAGTCAGTATCAAGTAGTTTCAGATTAGTGTTAGTGTTCAGATGGGGAAATATAGCTGATATTGGCATAAATTACCTTAAATCTTGTAGTTTGACTATTCTTCTCATCCTATAATCTGATGAACTTGTAGAAATCATTGCTGCATTAGAAACAGCAATGATTTTTCCAATAACATCTGCAAAGATAGAATAAAGTATTTGATTATAACATTGCATATAGAATATTATGGTTACGTGTAATGAAATAAAAGTTAATTTAGTACCTAGAAAACGATCAGTCTTGCTTGTGAAATCGTGAAGTTTATCAAATGACACCAAGTCAAATGTATACTTTGGAAAATCCATAGGTTGATCTTTGGCTTCAATGATACAAGTTCTTTTGTTTAGTTTGATCATATATGGATTACCAACTGCTCTATAACTGGGCTTAGCATTGTTAACTGTTATCTTGCTGATGTAGACGATATTTCCTTCCTGTAAATATTGGTTCAATAAAGGTATAGCATCAGGTGGGATCTCAGCATAGATAGCATCTCCCTGCAATGGCCATGCAATTTTAATAAAATAATATATATTTAATGATAAATATATGTTAGGAGAAAATATAAATAAAGGATATAGTATTACCTTTTGATCAAGTAAAACCAGATCTAAATGTTTGATGTTATCATCTTCATTAGTTCCTCTAAATTCCCATATCCTGGATATTCGGACGCATATCATGTAGTCATATCGCCCTGGGCGCAGCTCTGCAATTGGAATGATATTCATCTGCAAATTATAAGCAATGGAAAATGTTAGTACTGTGTTTGTGTTTATATAGTATATAGAGAAAAATATAGTATACATTAAGATCTAAATGAATCTAAAATTTCTCTATATACTATATTTTTTGTTTGTGTTGCACATGTCCCATCTTCATTTTCTATTAGAATTTTTAAACCTTTACTATTGCTTACTCGTGAGATTGCGACATATAATTGGCCATGTGTAAAGACTGGTTTTTTTAGATATAAACCAACATTAGATAAAGTTTGTCCTTGGTTTTATTTATAGTCATAGAATAGCACACTTTTATTGGGAACTGTCGTCGACACAAGGTAAATGGCCATTGATTTCCTCGGGTTGTTAAGTTTATTCTGGGTATATATGCTTTTTCTCCTATATGAGTTCCTGTTATTATTATACCTTCTATAATATTGTCTCCTAAATTTGTTATTATCAATCTTGTTCCATTACACAATCCTAAATTTTGGTTTAGATTTCTTAGCAAAATTATAGGAACTCCAACTTTCAGCTTAAGTACATGAGTTGGAAAATTATTGGCATTTAGAGAATTTAAATATTCGACAGGATATAATATGTCCGCATCATTAGTTGTATCCATACATTGAGATAGTGTGTCAGCACTATAATATTCCTTCTCTTGATTAGGTACTAAGCTAAGTATATAGTTGTTCACTTCATCAACAATCTCATTAGTTGTAGCTAGAATTGCTCTATTTTTCAAATAATTTGGATTAAAGAAACTATTTTTGAAATCTGGGTATGTAAACTTTACCAACTCTTCTAATTTGTTTTCTCCTGTGTTTATTAATAAATTTTCCGGCACTTGTATAATGGTTGTATCTGTGTCTTCATTTTGAGCAGTACTTTGTTTGGTATTTATTTTACCATTGCCTATATCCAGAATCCAATTATTAAAGTCATTGATTTCTTTATATTCTAAAGTATTAGATTTGGTTTTTTGTAATCGCATATTTTCAAATAGAAATATTTTTTTAACATACCCCCAAAGATATGACTTTACGATTGATGCATTAATAATTTCCAGTTTTGATGCATTTTCTATAACTGGTAAGATTTGTTTAGGGTCTCCTCCTAGAACAACAACTTTACCTCCAAATGGTTTATCGATAGCATTAATATATTTTTCTGATAATATATCTCTTAATGTTCTATCAAGAGCCTCAAAGCATTGGCGATTTGTCATTAATGCTTCGTCCCATATTATAAGAGAAGTTTCTATTAGTAATTCAGCTAATTTTGTTCCATGTTTAATATCACATAATGATAGTTCATCTATATCAACTGGTATTCGAAATCTTGAATGGGCTGTTCGACCATTTGGTAGTAATAATGATGCTACTCCAGACGATGCGACTGTTAGAACAATTTCTTTTTTAGCTCTCAAAAATGATACAATAGTATTCCATAAAAATGTTTTGCCAGTTCCTCCATGGCCAGATACAAAGAAAAAATTACTTTCTTTATTTATTACACTATTTACTATAAGATGAAATGCTTTCTTTTGGTCATCGTTTAGCTGTAAGTACAATTTGTTAGCTTGCTCTTCTAAATCATTTGCATTATAATTTAATTCATCTTGAATTAGTGTATTAGTTGAATCTAATTTGTATCTTACTGTCATCTGAGGAAGATTAAATTTGTCTATACTTATACCACTTTTGGATAATAAATATTCTATTTGTTCAATTAGAATATCTTTTAATTCTATATCAGTCGGGTTGTACTTAATTGGGTGATATTTTGATATTAATTGAAATTTTATATCATCTACCATTTTTGCCCAATTTGTCTCAAAAAATTTCCTTTCATCTTCTAAATTGCAATACAATAGTAGGATTATAAATAAAGATCGTAGTTGTGGAGATGTTGCCCAACTTGCAGCTTCGTCAAATGTTTTATACCATTCATTATCATCCATTAATAATCCACGTGCTGCACATGTTTCTTTAAAAGTTTTATAAGTAATACCATTGTATGTTCTAATATCTTCATAGTTTTTTGCTCCTTTAACTATCATTAATAGCATACGTAGATAGAAACGTTCTCCTTCAGTTGGTTTGACATAATATAAACGGGCTATTTTAAAACCATGTTGTCGTTTGACCCATTTCCTTTCTTTTTTATCCCATTTCCATTTTTGTGGGAATTCACAGTATGTCAAGTTTCTTGCTTCTTCATGTAACTGATTTGCCATAAACCATTCTGTAAGCATCGTTCTTTGATTATCTGGATTTTCTATAATATTTTTTAGTTTTGTATCCTTAGTTAATTTGACCATATTCATTAAGGGAAGATGAACAGGCATTCTTTCCACTGGTGGCCAATGATAATGTATTTCATATCCAAGTAATCTCCACATACCATCTTGATCACAAATATATCTACATTCTAAATATTCTTCTATTTCATCTATTTTTTCTGTTTGCTCATTTTCAGAATGATCTATTCCTTGTTTGATACGTTGGAAAATTATTTTAGCTTTATCCCCTCCTTTGTTTACATATTTACATAAATATTTTAACATTCTGCTTTGATTAACAAACTCAACATTTAAATGGGCTTGATATCTTTTTAATAGGAATAAATTGTGTGGAACAACCCATCTATTGTCCAAGTTATGGTTATCTTTACGTATGTATATATTAGTATTTCTACGTTTATATTGTGCAAATCCATTTTCAGTAAAATTAGTTTGATCATTGAATTCTTTAGGGTAAAATTTTGAACATTTGCCTTTTTTCATGCATGGACAATTTTCATTCTTGGCTCCACATGGTCCATGCATCATATGTTCAGCTATAAGGATGTATCCTAGAGGATCTTCTCTAGGATCTGGTATTTCAGTTGATATCCATTTATCTATCATTTCAATCGTTATTTCACTTGGCTTTTTATCTAACCAAACTAAGATATGTACATGTGGTAAACCTCTTTTTTGGAATTCTACCGAGTATAAAATAGCTGTTGTAGGTCCAAATATTGTGCCGGATTGTATATCTTCTATTAATTGTTCTAGCTTTATATGAAATACTCGAACTATAATATCAGGTCTATCATTGGGTTGTTCGTTTTCTAAGATTGTCATAGTAATTTCAGGCCACCTAGGATTACATGTAAATGTTATAAATAAATGTGGAGGTCCATATACACGACATATTGCTATGCCATCGTAATAGTTTTGCATTTTATATCGTTTAGAACCAACATGGCTTGATGGTAATATTATTTTTTTTCCTATTTGGTTTCCTTCCGTTAAACCTTTTTGTACTGCATCAAATATTCCTTGTAAACATTCAGCTCGTAATTTGTTTTGATTTTTAGCAATAAACATTAGTCTATCTTCATCTTCTATTGCACGGGCATCAACTATTGCTTGTTTTGATAATCTACCATAACATAAATAAGGATTTGGTTGATTTGGTCGATAATGCATATGATATTTGTAGTATTCATGTACTGTAATTGTTGATCTTGTTTTTTTACTCTTTTTATTTGTATTACTATTATAATATGGTATGCCAAGTTGAAATCCTCTTTCTCCATAAGGAAATAATAAAGGGTATTGTAAAGCCATATAGGCTGGATGGAATATAGATATGCGTTGTAATCCATTATTTTTATTTTGAACAATAATATCTCTTTTATAATTTTCTAGATTTAATTCTCCAACTATTAAAATTGCTAAATCTTCTGTATGTGGCATTTCATATTGTATTGGATCACCTTTATCAGCCCCTATTATTCGAATACTAAAATCAACACCTTTATGTTCTTCAAATAGATCGCGAGCATAGCGAAATGTTTTTACCAATGGATTATATTCATCAAACATTTTTTTTAATTGTTCAACTATATACGGATTGATATCTGTACTTCCCATTTCTTCTTTATTTAAAGCATGTATTCTATTTTCTATTTCATTTTTAGTATCAAAAATATATAGTTCTGCAAACTTTGGAATTTCATTAGGCTTAGGTAGGAGACATCCAATACGATGATGTATTTGTCCATTTACACGAAACACATATGGTCCATCGCCATTATTTATATTTTTATCTATTGTGCCACCCATTGAAGTAAAAGAAAATAAACTATTATATTGTCTAATCTTCTGCATAAAATGTTTTGATAGATTATCTTCTTTATTATTAAGTAACCTAGCAAGTGTTTCTGGTGGGTTCTGGAATGGTGGTATTTTTATTTTGTTATTTTTACAGCAATTTGAATATATAATTTCACCTTTTCTTTTCTTTGTCTCTCTTTTATTTCTTTCTTCAAACCAAAATATAGCATTGCAATGTTTACATTTATACTCTGGCATACCTATAAATGATTTGTTTTCATATGATTCTTTTAGATATTTAATGTATTCTGGGGTAAAGGACACCATGCCATGTAAAGTTGATAAATATGAAGATATATGGTCTATCTCTAAACATTTCTTTTTTGCAATTTTTTCTAGATAATCTAAATTATATTGTATTTTTCTTTTATTTTTAATATTTTTTTGCTTTTCTGTATATATTATATCTCTTATATTACTATTTTTTGATGTTTCTTCTTCATCTTTCTTACATTTTTTATTGTTATTATGCACCATATTTTTTTTCTTCTTCTCTTTTTCGCTTTTTCTCTCTTAGAATTTGTAGTCTGATATATCTTCTTTTCTTGCAATCTGATTTATCATATTCTGCTATTTTTATTGGATCTTGCTTTCTCTTTGATGGCATATTAACACTTCTAATTATATAAGCACAAAAAATAGCCAAAGTCAGAAATGAATATAAGCATAAAATTAAATATGAATAATTAAAGATATTGGTTGAATCAATACAAAACTTAATCATTCATTTCAACAGCTATATATAATCAGAAAATTACACATGAATAGTAAAAAAAGTGTTAGCTAATACAAACACTTCAATATTTATGACGACAAAGATTAATAGGAGCTACAATTATTGATCATACATACAATGGGGCAATAGAGCTATTCTATTGCCATTCTCTAATAATTCCTAGCGTACATCTTTTGTACAGTACATCCATTCCATTTGTATTACAGTTTCTTACAACCATCGCACAAAATTTTCAAATTTCAATAGATAGTGTTGATATTTTTATATATATTTCTGATTGGTTATTGTTTTTAATTAGTTCCATACTAAAATTCAGTGCATTTGTGGCTATAGATAAAATGGATTTGCTGATTTATTGGTAAAACAATATCTTATGGAAATAAAAATAAATAAATACAAAAAAAATGTGAAGCTTTTGCACTGGTTCTAGTGCAAGTATTTTTTCTGTCTTCACTGATGTTGCTACAATTCTCCAATTCTCCATAGGAACATTGATTTTCCAGAAGGGTTGTAGTAGGATCTTGGTATGTCTACGCATCCAGCATAATATAACTTTTTGGTCATTGGTACAACACATCCAGTACAATATATATATATATATATATATATATATATATATATATATATATATATATATATATATATATATATATATATATACACATATATATATATATACACATATATATATATATACACATATATATATATATACACATATATATATATATAGACACACACATATATATATATATATACACATATATATATATATATACACATATATATATAAAATTTTCCAGCTCGTTATTGTTTTTTACCTTTTTGTACTTCCTAGCTTCAGTGTCTTGCTCCTGTTTATCTCCTTTTCTTTTCCTTATTCTTTTATCCCCTGTAAAATAAACATTTACTAATATCATTGCAGATGATCAATGTACAATGATGAAAAATACTAAAAAGAATAGACAATGTTTTTTTTTCTGGTAAATATCCATACTACACGAAATGTTATTCACAGCTGATTGGTTGTGCTATAGCTTTTCTAAATAGAAAGTAAAATTTGCTGTAACTTGCTGCAAATTATTTAGAGGAAAAGATTAGACTTTGTGACTAATTGATTTACGGGATTGAAGTTAGTATAATTACATGTAAGTACCTAGGTTTGTCAATTAAGGGTTTGTTTGGATCAGAAGTGGAGGCTACAGCTACATTGTATAGTACCACTATATAAATCAATGTATTTTGAATAACTTTTAAAAAGTTTAATTGAAAACAGTTAGTTTGGAATGGTGGTCATCGTAATATACTATGAGTTAATTTATTAGGAGTACACGAAAGCTTGACTTGTTAGCAAAGATCAAACAGAAATCAAAAGGAACACATCCATATGTCCTCTCTACTAAGTTGTCATTGGAGATTTAGGTGACAGAATAAGACGTGGCTGGACGTAAGATTTCTTTCCGATTGCTTCCGTTCCCAGTGACTTATATTATAACAAATAGTCTAATACTCCTATATAGTGTCAGAGAAGTAACAGATATAGTATATCTTGTTGTCCATCGTGCACATCATCAGGATCAGGGCAAGTTGCAGTAGGCTGGTGTTGATGTTCTTTGATTCGGTATAAATCAATCGATCAAAATGCAAAATACTACTGGATCTGGGCTAATTTGGGGGCTTTCGTGATCGTGCAAGGTAATGCAGGCGATCGTGTACCTGACCTCGTCCTCGTGTTCACTAATACATGTGATTCAGTTCACTAACCTCGTCCTGGTGTCGCCGGACCTGCTCGCCGCAGAGCTACCGGCCGGAGGCCACCGCCTCGAAGGTTCCTCCTCGTCGTTGTGTTGTCGCGCACGGCGCAGGATGTGCTTGCCGCAGAGGTACCGGCTGGAGGTCGTTGCTTCTTTATCCCTCGGTGGATCAGATGTATTGCCGGTGGATGTTGATGGTGGTGTTTGGTGCCGGTGAATGTGGATGGTGGAACGGCAAGAAGGAATGTGAGACAATGACGAGAGGAAAGAGGAATGATGGAGAATGAATATATATACAGAGAAGAAGAAGAGTCAATCAAGGAAGACGAAGAGTCGTGGCCCTTTCGGAGAAATCAGGTGGCTTTGCACTTTTTCATTATACTCCAACGTAAGATTGTCTTTTATATTTTAGTTCTTTTCGCGTTTTGGAGCGCACGCACGAACCACGCTGTGCCACGTGGCATCGCTAATCGCTCGATAACTTGCACGGATTTCGATAGTAAGAGATACCACATGTTTTTTTTATACTTGGCAGACCATAACATCAATTTTCCTTGAAAACTTTGTAATTGATCCGCAGATGAAACACTGCTGATTTCCACTCAGTTTACAATACAAATACACCGACAAACTGCCTCAAAAACCACCAAATTCATTCAAAGTAAAATGGGTATGAGTGATCTTGGCCCCAAGAGATTGACTAAGCCTAACCACAGACAGTGGATCCACTGGACCCAGATTACTACATGATGTGAATTATGACAAAGAACATTTACAGCCAAAGCAGCAAAATTTACAGAGAACATCAAGAAACATAAACCACCCATTACGTGGGAAAAGAACAGATTACTATATGCACCTTACAGTTGGCTTTATAAATAATGACTGCACCTCACTTAAATTTCAGTATAGAGGGCTGCTTGGTTATGATGATGAGCATTTGATGATCGTTTGTCTGTTATTCATTTGAGACGCGAAAATTATTCCATGCCCTTTCACATGCATTGAGTTCTATACATCCATTTAAGCCTTTCATTGACAATTTACTTGAACTTGGAAAGTGCATCCAACAGTTATAACTGAAGCTATATATATATATATATACACATTGAATGATTAAAGCACATCTATAACACTAAATTAGTTCAATTAAATGTAACATTGAATATATTTTAATAATATATTTATTTTGTGTTAAAAATGTTGCTATATTTTTTTACAAATTTGATCATTTTTAAGTTTGATTAAGAAAAAATTCAAAGCGACTTATAATATAAAACGGAGGAAGTAACTCATAAATCATTTCAACGACAAAAGGTGAATTTTCTCAAGCATTAAAATTTGAAAATAAGTACACTAAAAAAACTTAACTTATATCATGGATTTATAAATTCTCCATCCTCATTGTGGAAGGTTAACACGATTGTTAGCTGTTGGAATATAGTAACAGAAATCTGACACCTTGAAACACTTCATGCAGTACTAAAACTTTCTAGAAGCTAAAAGAACCATACACTCCTGGACCATCGAAGTACTAAAGGATTTAACAAAGTACAGAAGAAACCCGAATAAGCCAAACGGCATATTTACAAACGAAAATAATTTATAAATAAAATACGTGTTCTTAGCGATATAAAAGCAAATGCTGAGAAATAAACTACAAACAAAAACGTCAAAATCAACTCCAAATTCTAGATTGAAAATTCAAATTTTGGTTGATTAGTTATCCCCTTCTAAATTGAGTTTTTTTTTTTGGACGGAGAGAGTATAAGTATAATCGAGAAGATGGGGCTGCTAAACCAAGGGAATGCTTTTCTGCATTTTTTTTCAACTAACGAAAGCAGTCCAGTCTAAATACCATTATCAACTACCAGAGTTCACCACCAACAACAATACCTAATTCCTTATGTTGGGAACTCATTCCTTCCACGTGAAAAGCAAAATACCTTATTAGCGTATGATTAATTAAGTATTATAAAAATAAAAAATAGATAATATATTTTTTAAAGCAACTTTTCTATAGAAATATTTTTTAAAAAAAACACAACGTTTAACAGTTTGCAAAAACGTGCATAGAAAATCGAGAAAGTGATGTTACGAAAATTGTCCAAAGAACACAGCCAAACATCTTCCGGACGCCAAGTCCAATACGATTAACACCCTACTTAATTTGGATTCAATTTTAGTCCTGTGACAGATCCCCAAAGTGCCAGAATTGCACATTCATCTTTCTACCTTATTTCCCCAATCCTGAATGAAGAGTGCACTAACACGATGTCCTTCCTGCGGGGGGCTATTAACAGACGGCCGCGCTCACCAAACCGAGGTGGCTGAGGCTGCGAAGAAGAAATTGCGACGGTGAGGACGAACGGGAATGTACGGTGCAGCGGGGGCAGCACCAGGGTTTCCCACGGTTACTACACGGTAGCTGCGGCAAAACGTACAAAACTATGTAAAATTTATCAAAATTTCAAATTACTTTTTAAATTTATTTGAATTTAAGAAGGTTACCACAGTACCCCGCGGTAAGAGCACGGTTACCGGTGGTTTTGCAAACCTGGATAGCCCACTCCATATGGTCATGTTTTACAAAACATGTGCCACGCCACGTTCACAGCGCAGTAGCAGCATGGCCATTCAAGCGGCTTCAGCTGTAAACATTTTTGGATAACGAAACAATGACCGTAGCTGTAGATAAGATAAGCAAGCAAGGTATCCATAAGACCATAATAAGTAGTAGTTGTTTGATTGCATACAAGATTCTGAAATAGATAATACTTCCATGCAAAGTCTTTTATCACGGCATAAGTAGCCGATGTTAGATTGCCTCAGGGGCTTCTGAACTTCTCCTAGATGAGACATGACAATATCAGGAATATATGACAACGTTAGGAAGCATTTATCCAAGTACTTTCCTAGATGATACCTAGATGACACATGACAATATCAGGAATATATGACAACGTTAGGAAGCATTTATCCAAGTACTTTTCCTTCACTGAAGAACTCAAGCCATAGGCCTCCACTCTACAGATCTTGCCACCATTGGCGTCCCCAGGATAGCAATCGGTTCATCAATATCAGCCTCTTTGGTAGCGTCTCCAGGGCTAGCACTCTCTTCATCAAAGGCAGCATCACTTGTCTCTCCAGAGCAGGCACTCTTTTCATAGTCAAGATCAGCACTGGCGTCTCCAGTCTTGTCATCAAGAAGACCCACATCATATGCCTCACCATCAGCTTCAGGGCTAGCACTCCTCTCATTAGCATACGTCTCAAGCAAACTAACCCAAGATGTAAGATCTAGATAATTCTTCTTCCTAGTCTCCCTAGAAAAAACAAAAACAATCATCAGCTCCCCTGTTAATCAATGCTAACCAAATTCAAAACAACAAAAAAACACAAAACAACATCATAACATCATACCTTGAGTTAAACCAACTAGGGAAGGGGTAAAGCAGCTTCTTATCAAGATTAGTGGAATCGAAGATCTTCTTGGAAATGCATACGAGCTCTTCAGCTTCTTCCCATAGAGCTTGTTCCTTGACAACATTCATCTTTGCAAGTCACAGACCTTGCTGGTTGTAGATCTGAGACCTGATGTCAGATATATTCTTGTAAAAATCATGAAGAATCAGGTTTGTCTCATCCAACAGAGCAGAACCAGTGATAGTTGGTAAAGGGTAATCCAGCTGCTCCAGGAACTGCAAAGATGCAATGATAAAAGGCTCACTCTTCATTACAAGAAGATAAATAAAAAAAAAATCAAGATACACAATGAGCATACAATGCATCCCTGCCACAGCAACATTCAGAACTTACATCAGTAATTTTGTGCTTTCAGGCAATTTCAGAAGAGAACTAAAGATTAAGGAGGAGAAGGTCGTGGATATACCAGCTGTAATGCCCACGATAATCTAGTAGGTACAACAAAAAAAAGAACTGGCCCTAATAAGCATTTTCAGGCAACGCGATATTAGATTCTCCATGTTTACAGCTAAGCAAACAAATTAGAGTAAGTTTCAGGCATTCAAGTTGTTTCTCCATTTTCAGGCACAAGCAACATTAGCTTCTCAAATTTCATGCTAATCGATGATAATTTCAAGTTGGTCCGAAAAGTTCCTTTAAACAGCAAATTCTAGAACTACGCTAATGGATGATAATTTCAAGTTGGTCTGAAGATGACGACATCAACAGTTCCCTTAATAAACAGCTAAGTTCAGAAATACGCTAATGGATGATAATTTCAAGTTGGTGTGAAGATTACCATATCAACAGTTCCTTAATAGCAAAATTGAATTTCAAAACATAAGTGATGGTGTACTTTTCAGCATTTTCAGGACAAGGGCATACCATTTGAAGAGAACAGCATAATCAGACAGATCACAGGTCAGGATTCGCATAGGATTGCATCCCATCGGGGAAATAAGTGAGGGGAGAGAGGGGAAGTAAGGGAAGGGGAGAGGCGTACCTGCCGCCTGATGGGCTCGGCTGTAGGGTTCACCGCCGGATGGCTCACGCGGAACAACCCTTGGATGGGGCGAGGGCGGCGTCGGCCACCGTTGGGGCGGGGACGGCGGCCCCAGATCGCGCGCGGGCGATACAGAAGATGATACGTCTGATCCAGTTCATCATCCCCTGCAAAACGAAGCGCACGTTAGGCTAGATACAACTCAACCGCGGCGAACCCACGGCGGCAAGAGACAAGAGTCACCTCTCCTCGCCATCGCCGACGCGGAGGAAGACGAGGCGGAGGCGGCGGCGGAGGCGGGGGCGTGGCGAGTCGAATGGGACGAGGGGTTCACTTAGGGTTTAGACTGTGGTTTATGTATGCGACGTAGAATCTCATCGAGCCGGGGAATGGATGTCTCTGGAAGATATTGTGGGGGGGGGGGGGGGGGGCGGATCGAGCTCAGCTGGGCCGGCCCGGCAAGGAAGAGATTTCGGTGGCTGCGGCGCAGGCAAAGATATCGAGAGATTTTTGCTGCAAATTCTTTTGTAATTCGCCGTTCTCGCTTCCAATCCAAAGCAGAAGATGGACAAGCATAAACGGACCTCCCTCGGTGAACTTCTTTTGAAACTAAAGCCAGCAACATGGTGCATATCTCTACTTAAGATGAAGGGATTCTCTTTACCTTGATTCATAGACCAATAGCAGCTTCAATCTTCATCCATGGCCAGCCATCTTAGAGTTCATCTTGCCCCTGATTCATTGTCCTCCATGGCCATCTTAGCCCTCACAAGCTTCTAATATAGAGCTAGGTGAAGGGAAGGAGGACAGATCTGAACTTTGGTGTTGGAGGGGCTTTGAAGCTGGGAAGAACAAGATCCATGGAGTTGATAGTTGATAACTAGCATCTATGGCTTTCTGGGGAGAGGAGGAAGAACAAGAAGACATGGTGTGTTGATTTGTGGATATGGGGACTTGGAAGGAAGGGTGGATTGGGGCTGGATCTAGGAAGCAGCTTCCATTGAGGATACCTAGGGAAGGAGGGGGAGAAAGCAGCTTTGTGGAGTAATGGAGGTCTGGTTGTTGAAGAAGACACAGATGTAAAGAAGATGTATGTGTGGTAGGCAATGGTTACAAGCAACAGGCAATAGTAGTGGAGTACTAGCAGTGTACAAGATGCCAATTCAAAAGATGGCAGCTAGTAGTACCAGCGAATACAACAATGAATTAATTAATGAATTATTTAAGGAGCACAGCACAGCCGAATCGGCTGTATTTAAAAGTCCTCTTATACAATGCACTGTACACGGTACAGAACAGGAGTATAATAATAAAAATACAAAGTCCCCGTTTCCCGTGAAAGAAAAAAAAGGCTGTCACAAATGGCATATACGAGTACTAAGTTAGTGCTTTCTTCCAAGTAATTTCTAACTTTATCTAGATATACGGGTGTATATCCAAATACATGACAGATTGACAGCCAGCAAAGTAAATGATGTGTTCAGCAATTCTGTACAACACCAGCAACCACAGGGACCCTGTCTGGTTGTTTGCAGCACCGAAAATGTGGACATGCTTGTAACATCCAAATACTACATGCAAAAAGAACTTGGGTATATTCATGTGAAGTTGTGAACAAACGAACAAAAATGTTTGAAAAATACCCTTCAAAGTTCAGACCAATAGGTCCTTTTGCAGGATGCCTTTGAAACTTTAGCTGTTAGTAGTCCAAGCAGTTTTACTTCACAAGTTTAGCGCACCGGTTTGAGTTATAAACAGCCTGCACATCATCAATAGATTCATCAACAATAACAATAGTGATTAATTAATTAAACATCATGCTGGTTTAAATGTATGCTGATGGGGGCATATCACATGAGCAATGGTAAGGATTTGGTACCTGTAGACCAAGATAGGATAGTTCGACAAAAGAATTCACCCCATGTTTGGTCATTCGTTTTGAGCATAAACTGCGTTTCAGTTGGAACTATTTATGCTGGCAAGTTGAATCAACAGATGGTTAAGTGCACAATCATATTTAGAAACTATTAAACCAATTATGTGTTGCACAATGAAAACCATAACACCTGGCATGTTCCAGACATTTTCCTGAGACATTCAATTTAGAAATTATAAAATGCACTTAAGTAGCAAAGGCCACAGTAACATATTCTGGAGGTTGATAGAGGGGTCATGGGATGACAGTAAATCAGAAATTAAGTTTAGGTGCCCACAGCCCCACAATGACAGCTATAGCATTCAATTTGTTGCATGGGTGGAACTATGGAACCTAGAAAGTACCAAAAAAAACAAATACTTATCTAGAATAACCCAGCAAATAGAGTTTAGGCTGTCAAAAAGTACCCAGGACATGTTTAAGGAGGATAAGACTTCTTGAAAGTTGCAAATACACCGCACTACAAGATTGATACAAGAACCATATTCATGGCATGAATTGGAATATGCAAATCATGAATTGGACTGCCATGTAGATTTAATATCAGGATCTAGAAATCCTTTTGCAAGATAGCAAAGAGCTATATGTACAAGTGAAACAACGAAGAAGGGTTTTGCTTATTTGGACTGGCTTGAGCAAAGCGTTCCATTATTTGAAGTAGAGCATGATCCATGAAAGCACACTGGAAAAGCATCAGCTTGAAATTAATCAATTTTATCATGTCACCATATTATCCCTGTTATGTCAAAGCATGCATTATATACTAGATATGAACTGTTAACATTCAGTAATTTGCACTTCTTGAAAGTAAATACATCCATGTTGTACCAGTCTATCTTGTGGAAGAGTTGAAGATTCTTTGTCAGTGCTTCTATGAAGTGAAATGCTAATTCATTAGCACATTTGGAAGAATCTCTGCACGTGACGTGATAGCCATATATCTGCTTGAGTAGATCTTCTAAAAGCATCACTTAGACAATGGCTCCAACTCCCAGTCCCAGAGCTTATATGTCCATTGTCCTTGAACTACTTGCGTCCACAGAGGTATCATCCATGAACCTAATTATTTGCGCAGTTAATGACCTATATGCATGAAAGCGAAATTAAAATATACTAAAAGAACCTGGCAAGGTAATTATTACCAGTAAACAGCTAGCGTAATCCTTAAGCTCATTAAGCATCGTCCAAACAAAACAAGTAACTGAGCCGCATTACATACACATTCAGACCACACATCTTGCGTGCCACAACGGAGTTCGAATTAAAGAAATCAAGGCTAGATTTAACCAATATAATCGGCACCTTTCTTTTGACCGAGTTCAAGAAAATGGGCGTACGTTCTTGGGTCACCTGCTCAGAACAGCGCCGCTTCGACCTCGGTCGCCGGGGCGGAACCACCCCCCACACCTCCCTTCCTAGTCCCATGATCCGGCCGCCGTCGCCGCTGCCGCCGCCGCCGCTCGGTCGCCCCCGCCGGGTCGTGATGAGGTAGAGGGATCGATGCGATCGCCACCGCAGTGTCGTCTTGTAGTTGAGGATGGCGGGAAGATGGAGGAGAGGGAGGGTGGAGGACGGAGGCGTCGACCGCAGAAGGGCGCCGCGCCGTCGTGTCGGAGGAGGGGAGGTGGGGCGCCGCCGCGCCGAAGCGAGCAGGCGGCGTCGAGGCGAGTAGGAGTAACTGGGCCTGGCTTAATAGGCCTACTTACAGCACTACGGCCAGCCTAGCTAATCGGGCCGGAGAAGGCCCCAGTTTTGGGCCTGATGGCGTCGTTTTGCCTGTGGATCAACCGGATTGGGAATAAGTCTATTTTGTAACCCTCATGTCTTACCACTAGTTGAATCTCCTCCCACTATCGCAAATGGACTCCTTCGGTAGTCTCGGAAACGGTTTCGTCCTACGTGGGAAAAAAAATAAGGGACTAACTAGGGTTGTGTTTAGTTGGTGGAAAAAGTTGAAAGTTTGAAAGAAAAGTTTGGAAGTTTATGTGTGTAGAAAAGTTTTTGATGTGATGGAAAGTTGGAAGTTTGAAGTTGGTAGAGGGGAACTAAACACGGCCTAGTTGTGATAGATTTATAACTTCAAATCTTGCAGAATTTTTATCCAATGGAGATAGTCCGTTTTAAATGAAATAACCAAAAAAAGACAATCACGTCAAAAATCATAAATCTAGAAAAAGAAAACTATTCTAAAAATATAATTTTAGTGCACTATAATTAAGTGTAATTGCAATATAACTGAGTGTATCTGTAAGTTGGATACAAGAACACGAACCTAAGATCATACAGATAAAATAGTGAAAGATAGGAGTCTAAAAATATAGGAGTCTAAAAATCAGTTGCAAGTAAAATAGAAAAAAACATTTCGAAAATCTGAACTCTGATCATACGTCAGTACATATGTACAAAGAGTGAAGTTTCAGTATTACAACACGTATACTTCTATCTACGTTCTCTATCTCCACTGCAAATTAAGCCTGATCCAAACGAAACGCATAAGAAGGGGGCTCACGCCTCTACTATATACTCCCACTTGTATCTTGTTTCTTTTGGTTTGTCAAGTCACCTTTAACCATCTCCACAAGTTGCTTCGTTTTACAGGTCTACGCCTACGCGTACGTATGTCTAGCTAGTAGTAGTAGAGAGTACTACCGGCCAGGCAATGGATAGTCGATCGGGTCAACTTGAATAAACTCGTAGTACAAAAAAAGTCAGGGACACACGTTTCGTCCAGCTTCAAAACAGAAGCAGATTTCCTTCTTCCTTTTTCTTTTTCCATTGAGTTTTTTGTTGGATGGTGCTAGCTACCTACCTCAAGTATGTTTCCACTGAAGACTTGTTACTGGCGCCGTAAAATGGAAGAGCGAGAAACACCGATCTAATGACAGAACGTCAGAACCGTACCAATGCATGTCGCTGGGCTCGCTACTAATTTAATTTATCAATTAGAACCGACCACATCGTGAAAGATTATATGTATGCCCTGGCTAGTAAATTAGCGCACGTCTGCTATTCCTTGGTGCTGACCCCATGCATGTTACCTGGAAGGCTGGAACTGAACGAGCCGGCTGCCTGCTTCTAGGTTTCTAGCTAGCTTGGCTGCGATGCAACGCTGCCGGGAGGCTGCTCCTGCTCGTTCGCACTTCGCACATGCGAACCGCGAGGCGCGGGGCCCTGCGTGAGAAAACCGAGAAGGTCACCACCTCGTCCCTCCGACCGAGACGGTAAATATCTCGCGCGCGCTCCGTTGATATGAGTTTGTGATTGGCCGATGGAAACCGTGTCGCGCGCTTCTCTAAGCCGCGGAGGGATATTTTAGAACCAACCAACCGAGCCGAAAGATGCCTTGATGTTCTTGCGAAAACGCATTCCTGATATAGAACTGCTCCTGTAAGCGTGTTTTTTAAGCGGTGTGATCTGCATTTTTCCCGATGCCCAGTAGGAGAGAAACTAAGCTTGGGCTTGCGTGCGAGGAGCACTGCTTGAATCTTTGCGAGTCACTCTTCGTCCAACCTTACTCGCCGTGCAGTGAGAGATCCATCAGGGAAGTCAAACAGTACTCTTTCAGTTCCAGAGATCAATTAACGTAGCATAGTGAGATATACAGCTCGGTGCAGTACTAGTATGGCATATTGGCATGTATAGCGAAGCCCTAAACTATGACCCTCAAATTTGTTTGACAAGAAGCAAATCTGAATTTTAAGTTGTGTACTGTACGTGTATATAGCTGTAGCAAGGTCGGCAGCATAATAAGATAACAGTTTACCGAGATCTAAGGCTTCCCTACCTTTGACATAAGAAACAAATCTTAGTTCAGTTCTCCATCTAGCTAGGTACCCCCTGATCCTCCTCAACCTCAGTATAATCTATCGTGCTTCCATGTGCACAGATCGATCAAACTCGCATGATGAGACGACCTGCACTTGTAAAATGCTTATATACGTAGAAACGGAGACTAACACCAATGATCACCTGTGCACAGTTCCAGTGTACTAGCACTAGCTAACAGGACGAGGGATTGGATTCCAAGGGTAGACTTGGTTTCCCCTCGTCTCGGCCAGCCTGACATTCGATTCCTCACTTGCCTTGCCGCCCTCATTTTCCTCACCACCTTCGTCTCCAATCTCATTCCATTACCTCTGCTATATATACACACAAACCGCTGACCCTTCTACCGTGGAAACAACAAGCAGCCACACACTTCAAACTAAGATCCTAGCCCGGCTAGCTGCAGGGCTAGCTAGCTAGAAGCAGGCAGGCATCGATGGCGCCAATGCCGCTTGCTTCTAGCTCCTCAAAGCTATGCAGCTTGCTGATCCTGTGCCTAGCCTTCCTCGCGGCCGTGGACCGGAGCACGGCGGGCATCTTCGATGAGATCGAGCTCATCTGGGGCGCGAGCCGCACCTACTTCTTCATGGATGGCGACTCCGAGGCGCTGGCGCTCTCCCTCGACCAGTCGCAGGGCTCCTGCTTCCGCTCCAGGGAGAAGTACCTCTACGTCCAGATCGACGTCGAGATCAAGCTCATCGAGGGAGACTCCGCCGGCACCGTCTGCACAATCTACGTAAGAAATCTTGAAAAAAAAAAAATCTTTCGACCTCGATCTCGCAGTCTCGTGTATCGATTACTGTGTGTGTACGCGCCGGCCATGCATCTCAGCTGACTTGCATGCCAGTGTACGCTTGGTAGATCAGTGGTGTTGACTTTTGACACACGTGGAATATTTCGATGTGCGTACGTGCGTGCCGTGCAGACGATCTCGGAGGGGCCGTGGGAGATTCACGACGAGATCGACCTGGAGTTCCTCGGCAACGTCACCGGCGAGCCATACACGCTCCACACCAACATCTTCGCCAACGGCGTCGGCGGCCGCGAGCAGCAGTTCCGCCTCTGGTTCGACCCCACCGCCGACTACCACACCTACTCCATCGTCTGGAACCCCAAGCGCATCCTGTACGCAATAAAACACATCAATCCCATCTCCAATGCAACTCGATAATAATCTTGCATTAGTACTCCTACTAATCGTATATGTGTGATTTGGGCGAAATGCATGCATGGATGCAGGATACTGGTGGACGGGAAGGCGATCAGGGACTTCAAGAACAACGAGGACCAGGGCGTGCCGTTCCCGACGTGGCAGTCGATGCGGACGTTCGGGAGCCTGTGGAGCGCGGAGGACTGGGCGACGCAGGGGGGCCGGGTCAAGACCGACTGGAAGCAGGCGCCGTTCGTCACCTACTACCGCAACTACAACGTCACCTGGTGCCGCCCGTCCCCCGGCGTGGCGTGGTGCGGCGACGAGCCCAAGGACTCGACGCGCTTCGACCTGGACGCCAATACGCTCTCCGACCTGCAGTGGGTGCGCTCCAACTCCATGATCTACAACTACTGCGACGACAGTGTCAGGTTCAACGCCACCACCCTCCCCAAGGAGTGCACGCTGCAATGAGAAGAAGATCGAATTGATCGAGGGGATCGATCGATTGCATGCTGATTCATCATTCGTTATTCTTGTACATCTGAAGAGAGACAGACAGGTAAAATTTTGATTCTTTCGATCGTCAGGCCTGTGGTCGATTTGGGCCGCTCCTTTTTTTTCTTTTCTGGAGCAGATGTACCGCGATATGCGAAATTTATCTGACGACATACAGAGCAGTTCTTGCGTTAAAATTCGTTATGACAAACAAAACTAAAACAGCCAACCCATTTTTATTCCATGGTTATATATGTTGGGACTTCGTTAATCCGCTTATTATTGTTCTTGGTGTCATGTACCATGTGCCATATGAATTTGAGGAGATTTACGATCATGTGACATTGTGAAGTACAGTAGAGATCAAGTTACAGTATCATGAATGCTAGAACAGCACGGAGGCAATGGCCGGCTCCGGCTATGTGCGATGGCCGGAACTCTGGTCGAGGCTACATTCGGCCGGAAGGCCCTGCGGGAACCGCCATTGGTCGCCGCAGTAATCGTAGATCATGTAGTTCGCCCGCGCCCACGCCACGTCGCGCTCGCCGTCGGCGCCGAGCTGCCTGTCCATCCACGCGCCGCCGCAGTCGCACGTCGACGGCGACGACGTGGAATTCGGTAGCTGGCCGGACGTGCACGGGCCGCCGCCACCGCCGCCGGCCGCCGGCACGGCGCAGGCGCTGTAGGCGTAGGTCCGGTACGACGCGACGAACGGCGCGGCGGTCCAGTTGATCTTCACCTGGCCGCCGCGCGTCGCCCAGAAGTCGCCGTTCCACAGGCTCGCGTGCACCCTCATCGCCTGGCCGCTTGGGTACGGCACGCCGGCGGCCTCGTGGTTCTTGAACACCCGTACCGCCTTGCCGTCCACCGAGAAGCTGAAACATACATCATATACATCATACAATGATGCAAATGCAGGCATGCAGCTATGCACAGGAGATCTAGTGCATTAACTCAAGCTCCAGGCAGTGGTCGATCGATCAGATTCGTGCATGGATGGGCCAGCCAGTCAAGTGGCTTGATTTGGATATGATTATTAAAACTGTTAAGATTTGATTCAGATGTTTAAATCATTTTTCGCCGGAATCTAGTATTTGACTTGCCATATATAAATTTCTCCTCTCTTTGACAAATACCTTTTTTTTTTTTGTCAGGCTGAGTTTGACGTGTTACCTGAGCAGGCTTCTCATGTGCTTCTGCACGGTTTCCTTCTCTCTCTCTCTTTTTAATAAACAAACTATACTCATGTGGCCTACTTTGAAATGAGTGAGTGCAGCCGTTCAGGCATGCAGCTATTGAACACGGCGTTAGAATGATTTAGCTGTAATCTCGAGAAAAATAATGTATTTCTAGTTATCTACTCAGTATTATGTGCTTAATTGCTTAAGAGTAAGGATAATAGTGACTTATAAGACTACTATAAATTTATGTGGAGGAAAAAAGTAACTAAACGTGAGGGGTGTTAGCTCTCATGCAAAAACTAGCTTAACACGTGTTCCAAAACAAATACATCAAATCTATAAGTGAGAGAAAATAAGAGGAGAAGATAAATTTAAGACATTATTATAGCTAATCTATTACTATAAGAGGAGAAGATAAATTTAAGACATTATTATAGCTAATCTATTACTATATGTGTTGGCTTTAAAATAAACTAACAATTGGCATTGAACTCTACTATTAAACTTGCTCTAAGTGCTTGTGTACAAGTCCTACAAAACGACGTTTTCGTGGCAACAAAGTACCAAACCGACAGTGATAAATATTTCTGATGCAGAAATGCAAATTTCTCATGTGAAGTTTAGGACATTTTCAAAGGACATGCCTGAGCACCCGGCCCATTACAAGTATGGGATAGGGGCTGATAAATCCGAGTATTCGGTCATGGGCTCATGGCCCATTGGCTAGGCTCCCAACCGAACGAATTTTTTTTATTTATACAAATCTAATCGATACTTCAAATGATTTTAAATAGAAAAGTGATAGACTACAAAGTTATAGATCTACAACTTTTATATAAAGTTTATCTTCATCCAATGTCGTTTAAAATGTAGATATGATATTTTTAAAAATGTGTTTTATATTTTGTAACGAATATTTGAATATCTAAAACATCTTAAATGAAAAAATTGTTAACTACAAAGTTGTAGATCTTCTTGAGCTCTACAATTTTATATAAAGTTTTATTTCATTTGACTTTATATAATATAATTTTAAATTGTAAAATCATAGAGCTAATAAGTTGTGCTGGAAAGTTTGCATTTAGGTCCCTTACCGCTCTCTGGAAGGGTGATTTTTAAAAATCGCCATCCCAAAGGGCGGCAGGCGATTTGTAAATTTTTGAAACAAAAAATTATTTTTGTAAATATTTTAATAAAAAATGTATAAATAAAAAAAATCCCGAACTAAACGGAGTATATGCCACGTTCCACGACTCCGTGACGTAGCACACGACCACACGTGAAGTTGTGAACTTGTACGGTTCAACCTAAGTCAGCTCACGGGAAGACAAAAAGATCTTGTACGGGTTGTACCCAACTTAATTTCTCTCTCACTTGGCACGGACTAGGACTTGAATCTTGATCTGGCTGGGACACTGTACCAGCAAGCTAGCTAGAGCGCGGAATACACGAGATTATAAGAGGTTAATTGTAAGACGAGTGCGTTTGTTGCGTAGCATACGTACATGATGTTGAGGGGGTTCCAGAGGATGGTGTAGTTGTGGAAGTCGGCGGTGGGGTCGAACCAGAGGTAGAACTGCTGCTCCCGGTTCCCTCTCCCCTGCGCGAACACGTTGGTGTGCATCACGTACGGCTCGCCGCTCACGTTCCCCAGGAACTCGAAGTCGATCTCGTCGTGCGCATCTCCCTCCGATGTCAGCTGCACATATCACAGTATCACACAGATAGTCTATTATACACATGCGTAATAATGCACTAAAAGTAGTATGATATATAGCCATATAGGTGACTTTACTTAATTTGCATGTGGTGTATGTATGATTACTGGCTTAATTGTATAATATTACTACGTACGTAGAAGGTGGCGACCGTGCCGGGCGATTCGCCGGGGACGAGCTTCATCTCCATGCTGAACTCGCCGAAGAGGAACTGGTCCTTGGACTGGAACCCGGAGCCGGAGGCTTGGTCGAGGGTGAGCGCCACCACCTGCCGCGTGGCCGCGTCGTCCTCGTCGGTGACCCTCACGTGGTCTTCGCCCCATATCACGTCGAATTCCTCGCGGAAACCGCGCCCGCGCGCGCCCGAGCACCCCGCGACGACGCAGCACGCCACGACGATCACCAGAGCCGCCGCCGCGCCAACCTGCTGCTGCCCAAGCGGCCGCGCCATGTTTAGTTACAGTGCGGCTAGCTAGTTAGCTCGATATAGCTTCTCTTGGGTTTTGGCACGAGTGGGACGTGAAACAACAGGAGCTGTGTGCTAGGGTTTATATACGCGCGCGAGCACGAGGGGATCGTCGATCGCGTACGCGTGGATGCGCGTACGCCATGCACGCGCGATCGAGCTCGATCGATCGTCTTGCATGTACGCCGGTTTGGGGTTGCTCACAAGAAAGCACAACGTGCGCCAACGGCGGCGTGGCCTAAGCTATAGCTAGTCTGATAAGATTCAACTACGTTTGGAAATCTCTGGCCACGCATGGCGACTCTAGGCTCTGCGTACAGTACTGCATACATGCACAGCGAATGATTGGTTGGGGTTGGATTCTTGCATTGACGCGATCGGTATGCATGATTAGTTTGACGTTGCGTGCTGCGTGTGCGCACGCTTGAGCTTGATATATCTTCCGAATGTCTAGCTAGCTTGAAAGTTGAAGGCCCGGCCCTCTCACTTTCGGGTCGATTGATCTGTGCTAATCGGGCGTACGTCGCGATCAGAATATGGGGTCGATCGGCGTTATGATCCATATACGGAAGCGTGCTCACGGGGTTAATTCGTCATTCGCCGTATGGAGTTATCAAATGGAGTTGTAATAAGAACGACGACGACCCTCGTTACTTGTGTAACGTCTATACGTGACTGCACATGCAGGCATCACTGCATGCATGGTTTGTGTTAGTTTCATATGCTGACAAACTTAATTGCACTCCCGTGCTCCTTCAGAAAACTGATCCATTGTCACTAAGTATAGCTATAGAATTTTGGTCTGGAAGAAGCCGAGGACCAGTGGACGAGTTCTTCAGTGTACAAATGGTTGCGGTTGATGCAAGGAATAAGTTCACCGAAGGTCCCTCAACTTAACAGCGAGATTTTTTGAGGTCCTTAACCACAAAACCAGAAATGTATACCCCTAAACTCACACAAACCGTTCAAAGTAGGTCCCATAGCAGTATATGTGGGTGGTTTCGCTTATGTGGCATCTGACGGAGCGTGAGGCCCCTCACCGGGAGACCGCGCAGGCCCCCCTTTGCCGGTTCGGCCGGGGACCCTGGGTGAGGTTCTAAGCTCCTAATCTGTGGAAGGTTCGCGAGAATGGAAGAAACACAAGACACGGGCGATGTATACAGGTTCGGGCCGCTGAGAAGCGTAATACCCTACTCCTGTGTTCTGGTGGATCTGTGTATGAAGAAGCTACAAAGAGCTGGAGAGCCAGAGAACTCTAACTTTCTCCCTCTCTGGTTCCGAATCTAGCCTCAATCGTCCTCGATCCTCCGGATCCTCCGGATCCCCTTTCTAAGTGGGCAAGGTCCTCCTTTTATACTTCAAGGGGATACCACATGCACCATCTCTCTCTTTTGTGTGGGGACTTATCCTATCTTTCCTCCAACTTGACTTGCCTTCTCTTCATAAATGGACGGAGATTTGTATGGTTGCCGTCCGAATGACCTTCTGATGGGACGGCCCATACCTACCTCCACTTCGGCCGGAAGCAGGCGCGACGTGGGAACATGGCTGTCTGCTGACGACATGACCAGTGTCAGACCGGTCACAAATCGGTCATTCTTGTCCACCACGCGTCAGTTTAGCAATCTGCATGTTCGCCCTTCTTCATACAATGTCTTGCTTGTAATGGTTAGGATGAAGCCTGGCATATATCTGACCGGGACCAACGTGCCATCTCCAGGAGGTAACACGCCGGCTCCGGCTAGGGACGAGTGCTTGGAGGCTCTCATCCTGACGGGATGGGGCGAGGCGTGTGTCAGACCGCCTGTCGCCACCTAACCCACGATCTGATCGGTCTGTGACTGGTCACAGACCGGATAAACGAGCGCGCTGCACTGCGTTACATGCGGCGTGACGCGCTCGTCCAAACCGTAATAAATGCGGTTAGGTGAGCCCTGCTGCGCTCACCTAACCCATACACGCGGCGCAAAATCTACAAGGGGTCGGGGCGCCTCAGCCCTCGGGGCCGAAACGGGAGCGGTCCGACCCCTCGGGGAGACAAAGAGGGGGGCGGCCACATCACCCTCGGGCCCGACCCCCCCGAGGGGGTCAGGCCTTGTGGGTGATTGCTCCTGCCCAAGCCTCTAGTCATGATATTCCCGGTCCCATGTCACCGACAGTAGCCCCCAGCGTTATGCCAGGGCGATCGTCCTCCTCAAGGGAAGCGGTCGGGCGTGACGCCACTTCCAAAAGCCTGGTGACAGGTGGGACCGGTCTCCATAGTTGGGCAGAAACCCAACGGTCGCAAATTACGCACTCCGGCAACGGTAACTCGACTGTCAATAATGAGCGGCCTCTTCAAGACTGCCACATTACTCAAGTAGCACACGAATCGGGACGAGCCGGTTCGTTTTGCCTGGAGATATGGTGATGGCGCTTCGGTCGGCGAGCGTAATTAACGCGCGCACGATATGTTCCATCTCGACTGCCACAACCGCATATCCACCTCATGCGCCGCAAGCGGGCGAATGGGATTAGTGGAAGCGTGGGCGCGAGAAATGAGGGAGCGAGATAGTGGGCGCGAGAAGCGAGGAGCCGGGCACAGCGTTGGCAAGGGTATAAAGACACCGAGGAAGAGATTTGCTTCCTTCCTCTCGCTATTATTCCCCTTGTCTTCGCCGCTTGCGCCCTAACTCCTTGTTTCCTGTGCCCTACCTTCGCCACACGCGCTCGTTCTCAAACATCTCCTCTTCCGGCGTCATGGCACGGGGCTCCGCTCTGCTCGATGGTAGCGTGCTGCCGCCTTCCCGCATCGTGAGCGAGAGGCAGGCCGGACTGCCGCGCCGCTTCATGCCGGAATCTGCCACCAGCCGGGAGATAGTCACGCTGGGCGAGGGACGCCCGGCGCCAGACTACCCGGGGCGGTCCGTCTTCTTCCTCCCTTTTGCAATGGCAGGGCTGGTTCCGCCATTTTCTTCTTTCTTCATGGATGTTCTGGAGTTTTACAATCTCCAGATGGCGCACCTCACCCCCAACGCGGTAATGACATTGGCCATCTTCGCGCACCTGTGCGAGATGTTCATCGGGGTGCGCCCATCCCTTCGGCTGTTCCGGTGGTTCTTCACCGTACAGTCGGTGTCGCCGCCGTCGGTGGTTGGTGGCTGCTACTTCCAGCCGCGGGGGCCGGTGCTGAACCGCTACATTCCCTGCGTCCTCCGCAAGAAGTGGGATGACTGGAAGAGCGACTGGTTCTACACCCCCCTCGCCGACGAAGCGCGCCTCCGACTTCCGAGCCAGCCCCCGGCGCAGGCCTCCAGCTGGCGGGCGCCGGTAGATCTGGGAGATGGTTATGACGCCGTCCTCGACCGCCTGGCGGGCCTGCGATCCCTGGGGCTCACAGGGGCCATGGTGTACGGCGACTACCTTCGTCGCCGGATTGCGCCGCTCCAGCGGCGCGCCCGGGACGCCTGGGAGTACACCGGGTCCGAAGACTACATGAGGACCCACCAGGGAGTCAGATGGGACTGGGCTCCTGAGGACTTCAAGATAGTGGTCCAACGGGTGCTGAATCTCAGCTCCGTGGAGGCATCCCTCATTCCCCAAGGAGTCCTCCCCCTCTGCAGCGATCCAGACCGCGCCTCCATCCTGACCATCATGCAGGCGGTCGGGGCGTCGGAGGAGCGGGCTCCTCGAGGCCACGATGGCGCGGGAGGGAGCCGCAGGGGGGAACAATCTACCCCGGGAGGGGGTCGTGCTTCTGGGCCCCGCGACGGGGGCCCGGGGAGCAGCCGCCCTGCCGACGCCCGGGGGAAGAGGAAGCAGGGAGGAACCCCTCCCCCATCTCCTCCCCGAGGGGGCGGGGCGGCGCGTGCCAGCAGCAGGCGCCCGGAGGGGGCCACGCCGACGTCGCAGCCCGAGGGGGAGCGGAAGAAGAAACGGCTCCGCAAGATGGGGGGGACAGAACCATCCTAGGGAAACCTTATTTCCCCTCCAAGGTGGTCGTTTAACAGACCCCCTCGCAGGTTCGTCCCACGCCCATCGTGGCTGTATTTATTCTCTCAACGCGAGTTTTCACTCACCCATCTTGTTTGTCTTCTGGTCTTTCTTCTGTTTCAGCGAGATCCCGTCGCGTCCCTCCCGCCATTCCAAGTCCGGCCAGTCTGAGGCCGAGGATCCGGCGGCCGCAGAGGCTCGGAGGCGGGAATCTGACCGGCGAGAAGCCGCGGATCGCCTACGGGAAGCCGAGGAGGCCGCTCGGGAGGCCGCCCGGGCTCGCCAGGCCGAGGAAGCCGCTCGGGAGGAGGCCGGACCCCGCCAGGCCGAGGCGACGACATCCTCCGAGACGACCCGTGAAACTGACCGGCAAGAGGCCGCGGATCGCCTTCGGGAAGCCGAGGAAGCTGCCCAGATGGCCGTCCGAGCTCGCCAGGCTGAAGAAGCCGCTCGGGAGGAGGCCAGACGTCGCCAGGCCGAGGCGACGACGACTTCTGAGGCAGCTCACGACGAGGCCGCGGGCGCATCGCTTGGGCCCACTCCCTCGGGCGACGCTCAGGACAAGCCAGGTCCGGGGGACATCCCCGAGTCCGGCACGTCCATCGGCGGCCCGAGCCGCGCGGCATCTTCTCCGAGGCGGCTCTTCCCCACGCCTTCCGTTGCCCCACTGAACGCAGAGCCCCTTCTGCAGGCCTTGGCCATCGCTAACACCACGGTGTTGGACGGGTTAAGTGCCCAGGTGGAGGCCCTGCAAGCAGAGCGGGCGGAGCTCGACGCCGCATGGGCGCGTGTCGAAGAGGGGCGACGCTCGGTGGAGGCCATGGTGGAGGTGGGCCGCAAGGCACACCGCCGGCACGTCTCAGAGCTTGAAGCCCGTCGGAAGGTGCTGGCGGAGATCGCCAAGGAGGTGGAGGAGGAGCGGGGGCTGCCCTCATCGCCACCACTGTGATGAACGAGGCGCAGGACACCCTCCGCCTTCAATACGGGAGCTGGGAGGCGAAGCTAGGGAAGAAGCTCGACGCCGCCCAGGGGGTCCTTGACGCTGCCGCTGCCTGAGAACGGCGGGCGGCGGAGACCGAAGTGGCATCCCGG